GACACGCATAGTGAGAAACGCCGAAAATATACAGACTTGGCCTATGAGATCAATAAGATGTGGCGCATTAAGAAAGTTGAAATCATACCTATAATCCTGTCATCAATGGCCGTAATACCGAAAAATCTGGCCCTAAGTTTGGAATCACTGGAAATCAGAAAAACTAAGATCTATGAAATGCAAAAAGCAGTGATACTTCAGAGTTGTAGAACAGTCAGAAAAGTACTAGACTTGAGTTGAGTCTAACCAGTCGTGTCTCTGCCACCAAAAGTGGCCGACACAACTGTGATCACACCGGAACAACCGTGATATACAAAAATAATAATAATAATAATAATAATAATAATAATAATAATAATAATAATAATAATAATAATAATAATAATAATAATAATAATAATAATAATAATAATAATAATAATAATAATAATAATAATAATAATAATAATAATAATAATAATAATAATAATAATAATAATAATAATAATAATAATAATAATAATAATAATAATAATAATAATAATAATAATAATAATAATAATAATAATAATAATAATAATAATAATAATAATAATAATAATAATAATAATAATAATAATAATAATAATAATAATAATAATAATAATAATAATAATAATAATAATAATAATAATATAAAATTAACTATTCAACAGCAAACAAAAAATAGTTTACAAAACTGTTTAACTTAAGGTAATAATATTAATTAATAAATAATAAGTATAAAAAACAATTATATATTTATTTTTTTAAAAATAATATTAATATTTTTTTCTAATTTAGGATTTTTTTATTGCTATAAAACAACAACAAACAAACAAAAATAAATTATAAGTTATATTATTCAATACAATACAAGTAATATAAATTTATATATATATGATTTATAAATAATTAAACGATAATTAATGTATAAATATTTTTTTTAGATTATTAATTTAAACTATTTATTTTTTATTAAAAAATTTATTTTTTATTTTAAATAGTTTTTTACTATGTTATATATTTTTTTATTTATTTTAATTGATATTAAATAATTTTCTAATACATTAACGTTATTAACATACTGTATATGTAAATTATTATTATTTTTATATTCAATACATTATATTATATATATATACATATTGTTTATATTTGTTGCTAACCTAATATTTCATATAAAATATTATTATTATTATTATTATTAAAACAAAAAAATAATTAATTGTATTTTATTTCTATATATTTAGATATCTTTAATTAAAAAAAATAATTATAATGATAATTACAAAAAATTTCAAAATTTTTTTTGTTGGTATTTATGAAGTAGATTATAATTTAATATATAATAAATTAATTAATAATTACATTATATTAGATTACTATATTAGTGTACTAAACATACTTAAAGTACAGTATATGATACTAATAAAAATTTTAGTATTATTATTATTATTGTTATTATCATTACTTTAGTACAGTGTGTATAATTAAGTGCCACAAAAATGTATAGTTTTTTTTATATATATGGATATCAACAACAACAAAATCATGAGTTTTATTAAAAAAATTAATTATTGATAAAGCAATTAACACATAGTTTTTCATTTAAAAAAAATAAATAAATTAACGATTTGTTTTAAATGAAATATTTTTTTTGACAATTTTATATAACACAAGTCTCTCTCTCTCTCTCTCTCTCTCTCTCTCTCTCGCTATGTGTTTCTCTATCTAATCATATAACCAATAAATGTATGTATTTAACAGCAAAAATTAAGATAACATAACACACACACACATACACACACATACACACACATACACACACATACACACACATACACACACATACACACACATACACACACATACACACACACATACACACACATACACACACATACACACACATACACACACATACACACACATACACACACATACACACACATACACACACATACACACACATACACACACATACACACACATACATACACATACACACACACATACACACACATACACACACATACACACACTTACACACACATACACACACACATACACACACATACACACACATACACACACATACACACACACACACACAYACACACACACATACATACACATACATACACATACACACACATACACACACATACACACACACATACACACACAAAGACAGTGATTGTATAGTATAGTACTGTACGACACAAAATTGTTTAATAATAATTGCTGTCTAATTAAGTACATTACAGTATATATGATTAAAAATTGATTGCTACTTATATTTATTACATTACATAATACAGTATATGTATATATCATGTTATGTATTATTTAATACAGTATAAACAGTAATATAAAAAAACTGCAATTAAATATTTTGCTGTTGAAACAAGTGGTTTGAAGTATCAAAGTTTAAGTGCTAATAGACCGGGTATATAGTCAATCATTATATATTTGTTTGATACTGTTATATAGTGTATGT